TGTTCCTGCTCTCATTTACTGTTTTAAATGTTTGGTGGTTGTCAAAATTTTGTGACGTTTCACCTGAGATTCTGGAATTTTGGGCAAAATATATTTATATAAAATAAAATCGATTCAGGATTTTAATGAATCGATATCACGTTATCCAAGCCAGAATCGATTTTAATCGATAAATCGATTGTTAAAACCCACACCTAAACCTCAGTCGATTTCACCTAGTGGAAGAAAAACTTAAATGAGAAACAGAGTTGTTGTCCTGACAGCCAGCAAAGACCGACTGTGAGGACAGCATCAGAACTACTGTGTAAATGTTTTTCATTGCCACACATACTCTATAAATAAAGCTGCAATATTTCATTTTTCTTGGTTAAAAACATTTTCTGGCTACTTTCACTGTCACCTTTGTTTGAAATGAGCCTTTCCTGTTGCTCTTTTCACTGTTTTCCTTTGGTAATATTGCAGTTTTTATATACCTTGCCTGGTACAAGAACACAAATCGACTTTGACATAAAACTATTTTGTAAAATATTCAGGGAACCACAGATTTAATATCGTCGTCAACACTCTTGTCTTTATTACTCGCAGTGTGTGGCTTCTAAATGCGATGGGATAAAGTTAACGTATGAAGGTCAGCACAGGAGCAACACTGATGCTCAGCTCACCTGTCAGCCGGCAACGGCGCTCTTTCCAAGTGGCTGTGACAGCAGGTGTCCTCCATACAGCACAGTGTGTGTCACAGCTGTCAGTCTCCTGACAGAGACCTGTCCACAGCGTCCAGCCTGGTTAGGCAGACAGGCTGGGGAACACACACACAGACACACTGGATAGCTTGGCTGTATTTGCATGAACACACACACACACACGGAATAACATTGTGTCAAGGTTAGTTAGAGCTCATGACATTTGAATAGCAGGCAGGAAGGAGAACACATAGGATGGGAACTAATTTCACCTCCCCTCCCTCCATCATTCCTATCTCTGTTGGAAATTGTCCTGCTGTCCTTATCCATTATGTCTTAACTGGAGTGTGTTTGCCTTTTGTGTGATTTTCATATAAACTGACAATTAATTTTTTGTTTTCTGACTCCTACAATGATGTTTAATTGATTTTACACTGTACATAATTGTGTCCTGCAGAAGAGTGGTCCACGGTTTGATTAATTCAAGTTTTCTTCCTGTGTGTATGTGTGTGTTTTAGGTGGCTGAGATGCATGGTGAATTGATAGAGTTTAATGAGCGCCTGTACCGTTCGCTCATGGCCAAAGACCACCTCATAATCCAGATGAGACAGGAGCTCATTGACCTGAGAGGACCGGTGAGTGGCACACAGCAACAGACGCATCCTGTCTCGTCTTATTTCTCTGCGGGTTTTCTCCTTTTCTCTTCTTTGACTCGCCCACTGATTCTGTTTGATTTTCATTTCCACTTGGTCCTGTTTGTTTGCCCATCCCTCCGTTCATTTTCCCCAACAGTCGGTGGCGTCAATAATAGTTATCTTCTTTCTCATTTTCTGTTGGTGAGATTTGATTTTCTCCGGGAGACTTTCTCCTGATCTTGATGGCTATCGATGTTAATACTAAGTATCCATTGTTCTTGTTAGACAGTACACAGACAGAGCTACTTTTTCTCACTACTTTCTACACTAACAAGAAAAACGCACAGATTACCAACGTCTGGTCATGCTCTGGAGAGCCTAAAGCTGTCTAGACGTGCACACACACAGCCTGCCCACAGTTTGAGTTGGTATAGCTTCAGTGAAGGGAGCCCCAGGTAGCAGATAGGAGCTCTTATCCCTGAGCTTCAGCCCTGCTGTACTGGACTCCTGTGGGCGTGTGTGTGTTTTGTGCATGTCCATCTCTGTTTCCTAAGTGCTCCGTGCTTGCTACAACTCAGAGTTGCTGCAGACAGCCAAACCAGGGTCGCTGCCTCACTGATCCCTTTCTTGGTCTTGCTCATCTATTACCTTCTCTCTGTGCGTGAGTGCGTGCGTGTGTGTGTGTGTGTGTGAGTGCGTGCGTGCATGTGTGTGTGTGTTTGATGAAAGCCTGGAGGCTGGCGGCCCGATTGCACTGGCTGTGGTGACAGTGTTTTTGCTCAGGTTTAGATGGGCTCTCTGGGAAATCTGAATAGCTGACATGCCAGCTCTGGGAGAGACAGGTTGGGGGAAGACACACAAGCTATCATATTCCCAACACTTCAGGCGACATTACATTAACTTGCATTGATTCCCTGGAGACTTACCCTAACCTTAGATATAAGCACTACTCACCCAACCATAACCTTATCAAAACTAAGCTGTCGCACCGTGAAATTTGATGATTTTTGTTACGGGCTCTTGCTTTATCCC